AAAACAGGGCCTCACTGCATAGCCCTGACTAGTGTAGAGTTTTGTGTAGACCAGGCTGGCCTTGAAGGGCTAGAGAACCTCTGGTCTCTGCTTCCTGAACACTGGGATTAAAGGTGTGTGCCAGGAGAGACAGGGATATTCTCACTAGTAGACCATGGCTTTGCCTCCCAGAGCTTTGTAGGTTTGTGCGGTCACCCTGGTGACAGTGATGTTGAACTCTTTCAGCTGTTCTTTCTCAGATCGTGACACTTCCTTTTGAATAGTTCTGGAGGTCTGCTCAGCATCCTCTCTGTTTACTAAGGTTTGGCTTTCTTTCATGTGCCTTTCTTCCTTTCTTCCTTTCTTCCTTCCTTCCTTCCTTCCTTCCTTCCTTCCTTCCTTCCTTCCTTTCTTCCTTTCTTCCTTCCTTTCTTTCTTTTCTTTTTTTTTTTTTTTTTTTTTTTTTAAGCATTTCAACACCGTTCGCTTTCCTTAGCTGTATTGCCTGTGTGACTTGGCTACATTGGAAAGCTGTCTTTCTTCACAGGACCTGACAGGAGATGGAGATGAAGGTGGAGATGACGAGGTGGAGGACAGCCGTGGCTCTGGCACCCCAGTGACGCCCAAACTCTTCTGGAAGGCCAGGACACCCTCTAAGTCCCCAGCAGTAAGTTCCCTCTTGCCGAGCCCAGGCACTTCCTGCCATTCATAGATTGGCATAGAAAACGAGGCGTAGGTGGTTCAACAAGTCTTTGTCCACGCCTATGTTTAAATCTACATTAAACGAACCGAACCATGGTGGTGCACACACCTTTAATCCCAGCACTCGGGAGGCAAAGGCAGGCAGATCCCTGTGAATTTGAGGCCAGTCTGGTCTTCAGAGTGAGTTCCAGGACAGCCAGGGCTACACAGAGAAACCCTATCTTGAAAAATCAAAAAGAAGAAAAAAAAACTGTATTAAATCTTTAAAAAGTTGTTTTACTTTTATTCGTATGTCTCTGTGTGTTTGTCACATGTGTGTATCTGTGCTCAGAGGCCAGAAGAGGGTGTGGTGTCTCCTGGAGATGGAGTTTCAGGCAGTGTAAGCCACATGAGGAGGGTGCCTGGAACTGAACTCAAGTCCCCTGAAAGAGCAGTAAAGACTTCAACTTTGGAGCTATCATTCCATCCCCTAAATCTTTCTGTTAACTAGCTCCAGCTCTGTTTCGTTAAAAACAACAAACAAACAAATATAACTACAGAACAAGGTCTGCCTCTTTCTCCTGGGTGTTAGGTAAGCTCCTAAGCCTTTGGCTTCACGCTTGGCCTGGCCTTGTTGGAATTACATTGAGGAGGCAAGAATTCCCATGGCCCAGTTCTGGCCCCCCTTGGAGCTGAGCTGAAAGCCACTGGTGTCTACTCTGCATGTCTCTTGTGTCTTTTCCTGCTGTTTTGAGGCAATTCCAGCAGATCCAGAACATATTGCTGCTGTTTCCAGATGCACAGGAGCCAGTTCCCCAGAGACCCTGCCCTCTCTGAGCTCAGCTTCAGAGCCTCTGGTCATTACCTGCCTTTGCACTCACATCCTTGTTCTGTTTCTGCTCTGCCTTGGGGTCAATGATAGCCAGCTCATGTTCTTATAAAACAAAAGCATCCTGGTTTGTCTCTTCACTCTTGCTTGCATGGGGTTTAATGGAGGGAGGCTGTTCATATGCACCCCTACATGCTTTGGTTTGCTGGGACTCAACCTTTTCTTTCTGTCTACAGTCCCTGAGTTGGCAAGCAACCACTTCAGCAAGCATGTCATGGCTGTCCCCTGCCAGCCCTTACCCTACCATTGACCTCACAGATGAAGAAGTGATACCCCAGAGCATCAGTACCCCATTGGTTGACTTGAGCCAGGACAGCTATCAGGAGAGCATGGATACCACACAGGTGGATGTGAAAAGCAGAGATGGAGATAACACCAAGTATCAGGTACCACTGAGAAGGGATTCTGCCTGTCTTAGTTAGGGTTTCTATTGCTGTGAAGAGATACCATGGCAACGCTTATATAGGAAACCATTTAATTGGGGTGGCTTACAGTTTTAGAGGTTTAATCTGTTATCATCATGGTGGGACATGGCATGCAGGCAGACATGATGCTGGAAAAGGAGCTGAGAGTTCTACATCTTGATCCACAGGCAACAGGAAGTGAACTGTGACACCAGGTATAGCTTGAGCATAGCAGAACTCAAAGCCTACCCGCACAGTGACACACTTCCTCCAACAAGGCCACACCTACTCCAACAAAGCCACACCTCCTAATAGTGCCACTGCCTATGAGCTCATGGGGGTCAATTACATTCAAACTACTATATTACACTCCAATATCATAATACAAAATGCATTAGTCTAACTCTAAAAGTCCCCATAGTCTATAACAGTCTCAAACTTATTTAAAAGTCTAAAGTTCAAAGTCTCTTCTGAGATTCATGAAATCTCTTAACTGTAATCCCCTATAAAATAAAAATCAAAAAGCACATCACATACTTTTAACATATAATGGCACAGGATATACATTGCCATTCCAAAACACAGGGAAGGGAGCACAGTGAGGAAATACTGGACCAAAGCAAGACCGAAAACCAGCTGGGCAAACTCCAAACTCTGCACCTCCATGTCTGATGTAAAAATGCTCTTCAGATCTCCAGCTCCTTTCAGCTTTGTTGACTGCAGCACACTTCTCTCTCATGGACTGGTTCCACTCTCTGATAGCAGCTTTCCTTGACAGGTTTCCCACGACTCTGGAATCTCCAACCACTTGGGGTCTCCAAGTCAATCCAGGCTTCAACTTCACAACTTCACACAATGGCCTCTCTAGGCCTCCCTTCAGGGACACCCATGACACCTCTTTGGGCTCAGTGGCTTTCCTTAGTCACAGAGGAAAGTTCCATAATTCCTTTCTTTTTTTAATTATTAAGAAATTTTCTATTCATTTTACATGTCAACCACAGATCCCCCTCCTCCGTCCTCCCGCCCCCCAGCCTTTCTCCGCAACCCACCCCCCATTCCTACTTCCTTCAAGGCAAGGTCTCCCATGGGGAGTCAGCAGAGTCTGTTACATTCAGTTGAGGCAGGTCGAAGGCCCTCCTCCCTGCACCAAGGCTGTGCAAAGTGTCCCACCATAGGCACTAGGCTCTAAAAAGCCCCCTCATGCACTAGGGATGGATCCTGATCCTACTGCTTAGGGTCCCCCTAGGCCCCTATCCAGAGAGCCTAGTCCAGTACCATGGGGGCTCCACAGCTATTGGTCCACAGTTCATGTGTTTCCACTACCATAACCCTTTTATGGTATCCTTGACTTAAAAGCCAGAACCACATGGCTGAAGCTGCCAAGTTCTGCTGCTT